TATATATATATATACACCGGAAAGTATGCACGAAGACCGGCGCGCAGCGGAGGGTGATGCGACGGCGTACTGTCTGAGTGCATAATTTGCGATATCTTCGTAATAACTTTATTATTATACATCTTTTCCTCCCAATGATAAACCATGGAAATGCTGAAACCCAAAAGGTTTAGAACAGAATCAGCGAAATTCTTTGTATGGAGTCTGGTCAAACCCTGGTGGCAGCCATGTTTGTTTTTATTATTAGAGGACGTTTAGCGCGTAATCATTCCATATTTGGAATTCGCATTTTCTAATATGGTAGGAAGACAATATCCCGCAAAATTACGGCATGCCGTAACTTATGGCGTTACGGTCACATATGTATAATAAATATATTTATTACAAATCCCAATGTTTCAAATCAATATGGTACCATTAACATGTAACTTACACGATAACTCCCTTTGGTCGTAACAAACGTTCGGACTACGCCTCTTGCATAACGTTACAATCCAATTTCCTTCTCCACGAACACCAACATCCGCGACTTGATTTATTTTTCTGTTACTGATAGTCATGGTTTTTTTGGTAGTTTTACGATTACTGCTAATCACTCTAACAGTCAGCTTGATTCGTTTGTTCCTAGAATTGCCTACTGTTATTTTGACTTCAGCAAGTCTACCACACTCTTTCATTATCAGAGATGTAATACCTGGAGCATAACAATATTATAATTATTATTTAACCGATACTGTGCTGGTGTTTGCGTATATGTACGTAGTTGTCTGTTTGTTTCTGCCTGTTTGATCATCTATATGTATGTATGTCTGTTTGTCTTCGGTCCACCAAGTCACACGCGTGCATGACGTCATTTATATAATTATTCTGTAAAGGATCCTCTACCTGAGGAGAACGTCTTAATATATTCGATTCTTAGCATAGCCAGGTCCAGATTACATACTAATATGTATGTACTTTATAATCAGCTTGCATCTTTTTTATTATAATGCATAGCCAAACCATTTTAGCCTCTATAAAGTTAATGCACATATTTACCTACTTCGACTTTTCTTTTTTCGACATCATGATTTTCATCACCCTGTAGAGTTAGTTACGACAATAAACACATATTAACACAATAGTGGGCTTCGTATCCAAGTACATCGTATGAGACGCGCAGTGTTTGGGATTTTACCGATAATAACGAAATTTTAATTGATTGCTCTTTGCAAACAGTAACTAAATATAAATTTCCTATTCACAAAAATGCAGCGCGAAACCGAACTGCCAGCACAATCAAAAAGTAAAATGCGCCGATTTGTATTGGTCAACCAAATCGAATGAATCAATTCATGCGTATTATGTTGTAGTTCACGGATGTAGTTTCATTAAAAACAGATTTGCTATCAATAGATTCCACAACAAACATACACAAACTATGGGATTGTATACTGCGATTTACATATATATTACAAACGTACATTTGACGTGATTTCTACACCAATGTTCGCCAGTTTCACATAAACGACGCGGTACAAATCCATAGTATGTATTTTAATATACTGCTGTTAGATATATGTAGTACACAATATTATAAATCATATTACACACCACTCGAGCACCCAATTAATACAGAAAAATCTAGTATATTTTTTGGAAGTTGTACTCTTAAGCCTCCAGTAGGTTTCCATTTCTATAGACCAAAGATATTTATGTTACTGATTTTTCAGCGATAATGGCTTTGGTAGGTAATACGTACATTGTACGGTGTCCCACAAGTACAATTAGCCACAATTTATTTGCAGCCAATCAAACCTTCATCATCATGATCACACACGGGGTTGTAGACCGGTCATACATGGTCATCTTCAGCAATTCCATGTGACTCGGACGATGCCACACTGATCATATTGATTGACGAACCACTTTATGTAACAAATTTGGTAGTAAAACGTATAAAGCGCCACACACATACATTGTGAGCAAATATACTAATGGCCTATCATAATCCTTCCAAGATTTGCTAAATTTAAGTCTATATAGTAAATAGTTTTGACGAGACAGTATTAGTGAACAAGATAATTTAAAATTTTGAAAACAGACCAATTATTTCGATATACTAGTTACCCGTACCTATATCATATTCATTGTCATCCACGCGGTAGTATTACTTATTAAGTATAACCATAAATAGCCAGTGGCAGCGGCACGGGATGGGGGGGGGGGGTCTGGCAGAGGGGACGCTCTCCCCCTCGAAATGTTGGAAGGGCGTTGCCCCTTCAAAATCAAGCTGAAACCCTTTGTGCCAGCAAAATTTGTCCTTTAAAATGCAGGAAATAGCGTTTCAGAGGGTCTGAATTTCAACATTTTTAAGGTGGAGTATGCCCCCCGGGCCCCCTAGTAAGGTCGGGTTTGGTGAGCAGAACTCGACGCCCCCATGCACAATTTTGTGCCCACGATCGATGAATAAAACAAATTATAAATTTACTGTTCCTGTTCTCTAAGACTGTTCTGGTCCTCCATTTGCCTAACCATATATTTCATCACGTGGTGCACTGTATCGTATCGTAACAGTTCATGCTTGTGTAGCCTTGAGGTCGTAATGTATCTAATGATCGCTCTAGGAAATCCTCGGTCTACAATACGCACAGAATGTAAACGAAAATTGCTTTGAGCACTTTACCAACTTTCATTTCATTTGAAAATATTGATCCAATAGCATACTTGAATAATTAGTTGTTATACAAAGAGCAGCATTGCAACAATAGAAACCAGTTATACTTGAGTTACTAATTTAACAATGCGGTAAACTGTGAGCTTCGTTGTAAACGATGTAGAATTCATTAATTAGGCGTTGTTGTTTCAATAATAAATCATCGAGCAATAAGATGAATAATGTAAACCCGCATACTTGTTGTACGAATCATGAATTAATTCTGTAATATAATATATCCGCTTAGAACTTACTTACTGTAACAATTGTGAACTACAAACAAAATATGGAATAGTAAGACAAATTTAACCTTACCATTGTAAGTATTGTAGAAGACAGGAGCAGCGCAGCTACAACTGTTAGATGGACCATCTTTGTACACGTACAACACACTCTGTTGATTCAGCAATGATTTTATAGAGAACAGATGTGTAAGCACAGTTGTCTACTGATTGCGAATTGATTTGTCGCTGCTTATATGCAATAATATGTTGAGTAATCTCCTACGCACAATTCACCATAGCTGCAAACAATGGAAGCATGTGTTACACCTTAAGTATCATTAATTCCTTTAGTGAAACAGGAGGTAACATGAGTTGACGATCTAACAATGTTATATAGCATACATGCTAACATTGAACACTGTTCTCAGTCACATGACATTAATAATAAATTTTATTTTGTCTAAGTAAGAAAAAACACAGAATATAATTATAAATGTACATGCCAAAAGTGGAGTCGATGCTTTAAGTCGCAAATGTGTGGATAAAAAGACTCCTTAATTGTTTAATTTTAACGAGTTAATAATTGAATAATGGCGACTTCATTTTGTGTAATTGAACTATTACTGGATAAAACGTGATTTAAAATCGGAAAGGTAAATTTGACATTTGATAACTCAGGATTGTAGGACAGAGGTGTAACAATCATGTTTTGATATTTATTTTATATTTTCCTACGTACTTTGAAGAAAAAAACAACAACGGTACATAAAATGAGGGATAACACGGACGTGAACGTAGCACGTGCATCGTGGTCACATTACGAGATTGATATAATTATTAATTGGCGTTTTTTTTTATTTATACAATATTTTTTAGCACCAGAACAATATAATAGAATGGAAAAATTCGAATTGTCCCATATATGGGCTAAAACACGTCATCAATATTGACGCATTCACGATTATTGACGTCGCATTTAAACACCACTTTGTTTGCATAAACGCAGTAGCACTATAGAGGGTGACAGAAATAGAATTCAGGCACGTGACAGTCAACATTATTGCCTGCCTTTGTGCATACTTTACGGAATTCTCGGATTAATCTCACAGTTTTATAAAGTCTAATTTTGTATTTTTTGATGTTATAGATATTTTTGACAAGGCCGTTGCGCCGCGTCCTGTTTGATATAGGATTCATAGCGACGTACACGACGCGTGTACGATACATTGTTTGTTTATATGAAATTCGAACACGCGCTACGCTGCGCGACGACCACCGCGTTTTAAACGTGCTAGCTTTAAAATGTATGTGTATATTATCAGTGTAACTGCAAACGGCTAACTGGTTACTGGTTCACGTGCTGTAATCGCAGCATTGAAATAAGGCTGCAATATAAAATTTGCATGGCACAGTTTAAACATGAACATTTGTACAGATACATAAAACAAACATCATAGTAATTACTTACGTGCGCATCGTTTCTTCACGATTGCCACATGTATTGTGGGCATCATAATCGTGTAAGGTTCAATGTCAATCTGGAAAGTTATATATCTATTATGCACTGATCGCATGTGTGTATAAATCAATTGACGGAATGATTGATATGAACTCACTGTAATAGGATTACATTCCGCACTGATTAAAATGTGTTAATTGACATGCGGTAATAAAACAAACACATGGGACAGTAGTAATATAGTGATAAACAAGCAATTGGTCAGAAAATAGCAAACGATAATAACTACGTGTGATATTTTATCAGTGGCATTTAATAGAACTCCGGGCCATTTGAATTGGAATTAATTTGAAATATTGACCCAATAGATTTGGGAACAAAAATAATCATGGATTTGAATTTATAAATTAGCTCAACTTGAGCTGTTCGATTATGTCAGTGAAACAATGATAACCGCTACATGACGGAGATTAAAATTATTGATTGAAATAAGAGAATTATTGAAGTGAATGAATTGATTGTAGGCAACTAGAATATAATTTTCATTTACATAACTAAATCTTTGTATATTATCTTTGGGTGGCTGTACGACAGTATGAAATATTAACACGATGAACTGATCGGATTAAATACTTATTGAGATTATCGATTACACGCACGGAATATATTATTGCATTGATCTTTTATTGATTGGTGGGAATGTTTATGCGGTACAGATGTTATTTAATTGGCGTAGTTTTTATTGCAAATTCACACATCATTCAGAACATCAATGTTTAGAGAGTACATTGCACCTACATTGTACGTTAGGACAGCTGACAATATTCAAATATATGGGTGCGAAATGTTAAATTCAACTCTATTAATTGGCATTTTACATCTGATATTAACAATCGAATTGGGAATGTTTAAATAACATACCTATCATCGCTTGTATGTAATTTGTCCACTTTCCTTCTGTCTATGTATTTATTTATTTATTTTAAGTTGTTGCATTTTTGTATTAATCATATAGATACTGAAATAACTTTAGCTGTTATATGTTTGTGAATTTTTTTATTTTATCGTAATTTATTTTCCACTTATCCTGTTTTTTTCATACGGATCCTTGTTGTACATTTGGCGTCGACTATATTTCAACTGTTTTGTAAGATTCATAGTTTAGGCGTGTTCGTTCAACCCGCACACATAATTTACACTTCATGTTCAATCTGTATTGAAGTAGTATTGCACCACTGTATATTCCAAAAAAAAGTAAGAAATAAATCTGATGTCAATTTTCGCTGCTAGTCAGTTTCCATATATCGATTTCGATAATTTCTCCCAAAAAAAAACTGTTGTATGTGCTGTATTATAATGTTTTCCAATCTACTTATTATTTTACATTTTGTGATATTATAACTTATATTTATCACGTCTCACTGCTGTTACGCATGCTGTGATTAGTTGAGACTCGGTCACATGACATTGAATAAAAATGGATATTACATGGTATATTGCTTGCCAAGTGGATATTACATGGGTATATCACATGGATGACGTCACTGAAACTACTGCGCAACGATACTGCGTACAACAAATTGTCGTTTGCTGCACTGGTGATGCCCCAGGGGGTGTCACTCTATATTGAAACCTTACACCATGTGCGTTCTTGCTAAAAAACAATAGGCCCCTAGGGCTGGCAGCACATTGTCAAACCATACCCCCGCCCATGCGGAAACACTGTAAATTTAGTTCCCTCTAGAGCAGCCATCATGGTATTGAAGAAAAAAAAACACCCCCTATTGCATACATTTATTGAGAATATCCTACTCCTATTGCGAGCATTCTCTGCCGCTTTTTTTTTTACTCAAGTGGTGTGTGATCAACTCAAACAAGCTATGGCATAGGGTGGTGTATGGGAGTGGTTGTTTCAAGAGGGGGCTTACAGCGGGCTCATCAATCTTGTGAGTTTATTTGTGGGGGCCTATTGCAGACATTAGAATTTTAAAGGGGGCCTATTTGCCTCCCGCGCGGGCCCGCTTTAGAAGGTGAAAAACACCTCCTTTCCCCGCTAAATTTAGAATACACATGGGGTAGTAACGACATGTAGAGTGACCCCCCCGGGGGTGATGCCCCGACCTCTGTAGTTTTCGGGAATGTTTTCAAGGTTTTGAGAGAACTTTATCCATCTGAAATAGACAGCGAACGTGTTAGAACGGATATTGAGTAAGATACTCTGTTTTGATGTTTAGGATATTTTTTATGTTAAGCAAAAATGTACGACAAAGCCACCATTGAAACGTCGTAGCCGGCGCGTTCTACGCGTTCCACGCCGATGCTAACTGAAAACGCTCTAAAGCTGTGTGGCTTGTGAATAGGTGTTGCACTTTAGTGAGAAAGTAATTTTAGTCACTTACACGGCACTTCCACTTTTCAAGTCATTTAAAAAATGTTATTCACGATAAATTTAGTGATTCACGCTGCTGAAAGACGGTTACTAAAAAGAGTATCCGTGGGCTGAAAATAACATTAAGTGAGTGCATTTTTTTCAGCAAACAATGTATGTATGCTATTGAGTAATGTGAAACTTGTTATAATAGATAACAAATATATTGCATACTTCAAATATAAGTGTTGTTATTTTGTGGGAGAGCTGGTGTGAGTGATGTATGGTGGCTGTGATTGTCATGGTGGATGTGGATGTTTAAATAATACATTGTCATTCGGGCAATATTACGATTTGTTGTCTGCCCTCGGGTGTTGGTCATGACTATAATATTGATGATGCCTTCGCCTTTGTCTCTGGCACATCAATATTATGGTCACGACCACCATCCCTTCAGCAGGCAGTAACTCTTGATAATGCCCTCACAAGCATGTGTTATTATTTTCCTGATTCGATTGAGTGTCTACAACCTGATCTAGTGAATCGTTCACATTCACCAGGGTTCCTCTTCTTCCGTGCTGTGTTGATTTTTTTTTGGTTGTTCTATTAATCGTAAGTCGTTTCTATTGCTTTCACTTTCTGTTTCCACTCATATTTCTACTTCCTTAATTATTCCTATCACATGCAGAATGATTGAATGGATGGCATCGGATATTGTTCAATATTGTCTGTGACGACGTACGTTAGGCATATCCAAAGACATTGTAAATCCCATTCTGGTACTGGGTTAGTGTCAACAAGTATTTGCAAATCTGATATAAATTTTGCTATGTGCAGTGTGAGGGCGCTATATTTGGCATGGCGAGTCATTGCATTATCAAGAAAAAAATAGATCACCGCCAGTCCATGGTAAATGTTGAAAGGTAACGTGACATTTGTACACACACATGCAAACACCACCAGATATCTATCTCATTTCAGATGTATGGTTTATTTTAACGAACTGTATTGTTGTGTTTAAATTCTCTATAATTTAAACATACTATTACTTTTACTATATTGATTATATTACATTGTCAACCAACATGGTTATCACTTCATTTGTTTAATATATGTTTAGATTATTTATGTATACGTATGCTATGTATTTTTGCACATAATATATGTTTATGTAATTTATTTGACTGTGGTCTATATAATAATCTCTTGTACACTTATTTGTACATTGTGAGTCACCCCTGAATATATTAAAGTTATATTATATGCTTGGTCGTCCAGTAACCTGAACGCACACTACAAGACAAAAGAACAATTTCGGAATCTCTGGTCAGCAATGTGATGCGTTTAATTGTAGAAATTGAAACACATGCACTGTGTGACCACCGTATTTTTTACTGTTTTATTTTTATTCACAAAGTGGCCATCTCAAATGCTCCTGGCCACTTTTATTTGATTTGTTATGAATACCCAAGTTGCAAAAAATACATAATCTGCCTGCCCGAATGTATGTTATATTTATTTTATATTTATAAATAAACGAATGGAAGTACTAGAAGAATCATGAAAAAAGGCTAAACAACGACACTACAGTGCGTATTAGTATGACCTGTAATATACTTTGCAAGAAGACGTCTTTTATGTGTACATAGAGCGTCTGACAATTGAACATGTCATGTATTACCCTATGTCGAGTAGGTCGATTCAATTTTAATAATTGAATAAATATAATTCGGGATTTATGTAAATCTATACGACCCGTGGTACATGTATCATCTCCACGACCTTTGTAAACACCTCATACACGATGTGCCGCCATCCAATGGCGGGATGAGCGGCTTCCTTTGTGTACAATCAGCGTCAACTTCACGAGAGAAACGCGACGCACTTGCTAAGCCAGACCGTCGATCGATTCGATCAATAACTAAATATACTATTATCCTGTTCCGAATTGGACAATTGTTTATTTGGAGTAATTTCCAATTCTACGCCAGGTCCTTAGTAATTAATGATTCCACGTATTTATGTGGCCGTTATTGTAAAATGCCATAATGTTGATTCGCGGAAATTTAAACACACTGATACTGATAATGAATTACAAATTTGCCAAAAAATACTAAATTTGCTATCCCATGAAAATAATTGAAATCAAAATATTTGGCAATATATTAAGTTTTGCGTCGCATGCACACGATCGAAATATCATATAAAATGGGCCTATTATACTAATGTTGTATTTATTTAATTGCAAGAACGAGTTTACATTCTAGAATGGCCACGATGTACCACGGATCCTATACACGTATCCTAAACAAAGAACCTTTTTTTTAACCTACACAGAAAATAATTCCGGAAACCCCCTCCATATTTCCAGCGTTTTATTGTACTTGGCCTTGTCGCCAATTATCGATCTTTCGTGGCGGTGCAGAAACATCGCCAGGGGTCTACGAAATGTATTTAATATGGTTGGCTAATCTACCATCACTGACATCGCGTTGACATTGAAAATGATACTAGATCAAGAAATACGGTCACTTAGATGAATGTTTATTACTATGCAATATACGTATTTGGCGGCTTGTATTGATGTACTAAGTTGGGACATATGGTCTGCTTTACTAAACTTCCAGTTTTAGCAGAGGAGTCGGACTGTAGTGGGAGTTTCAATAACCGCCATGCCAATAATGATGTTGTAAAATGCGTTGGCGTGGGGCTGCATTCTGGATTCGAACAAACGAACTTAAAATAAGACCCCCGTCCGTGCCTCGACGATTCGCCTATCTGTAGCTTACCGCTCCTACATCAAACACAGAAAGCTCGCTGCGACAGTTCCGTATTAAGAATGTCAAGATCCACAAAATCTAAAGACCCCTCAACACTACCAGTTTGAATTTCCTAGTTCGAATCAGGAGAATGCGAAAACCAAAAACTCGGTGGAGAAAGTTTTTCAGCCGACACGACAAGTTTTTCTGGTGTGGTGCCATCTTCGCTGTCAATATCCCTAGTCGCACTAAGCTCACTGTCTGTCTCGGCTTTGTAATACGACCTTCCTTTTCTTGCCAGCTACTCGATCCTATTTTAACTCAATCGTATTATGTTTTTTTTTCAGGTTCCCTTCTTCTCTCCATATTCGTTTTCCCTTGTAAATGCGTTGTGGGATTTGAGCTACGGTACGCGTGCATGTGCATTGCTTCAGTTGGTTCTTATGCATATTAGAATCAATGTTGTGTTTACTACTAAACCGTTGTTTATCTCTGTTGTGATATGTTTTCAAGTGTTGAATACGGTAAGCATTCTTTTTTACGAAAAAGTATAAATAAGTACTTTAATTTCGAAAAGTCTCTACTGCATCTTTAAACGGATTAGCATATTCACGGTGTGGTTTTATTCCGGTATACTGATCGGTGTCTACCTTAGCAATACGCCGCTTTAAAAACATACGCAAACCATGCAACAGCTACATGTATCTTGTATACTGTTACTAATAGTTTAACAAACAAGAACTGTGATGAATGTTGTTCCTGGTGGAGTTGGATATAATCAGTGATGGACTGATCGATATAATGTTTGTTAATTTGGAGCGGTTTCATCATCCAGTCGTGACAACATTGTATTACTTACAACCACTTACAATGTTTAACCACACATGATTCATTGAACCAATTAATGGACATTTCTAGACAATTTACTGTCGGAAGTATAAAGACTAAATAAGCATCAAATTAGTCAGATGTGTTGACTAATAATATGAAAAGGTTGATTTTCAACTAGCATAAGAAGGCTGACAGATTTAACTTGTTATCTGTATGAGTGGAAGCACTATATTTGAGCCAGTGAAGCGTACAAAAAGTAATTTTATCACTTAAAGTGGGCAGTCGTCAATAAACCACGCCATCTCCTTGAAGCTGTTCGGTAACATTAACGATTATCTACTTGGTTGTACAGAGACACTAATCAAATATCTGCACGCCATATTAGTCACTGCGTTTAAAGGCTTCACAGTTTTAAAGGATACACTATGTATTATATTCATGACTCAATAGTACCAGCCCTTTGCTTATTTATGAAAATTAATATGTATTGTCATAATAAGTCTAATAAGACATGTTCATGATGAGTTCTTCCGCTTGTTCTTCCGTACACCAATACCAAGACACCAACACTAAGGATTATCGTTCGATTTCTAAACACATTTCCCATCATTCACAACCAAACAAATGGATGACATACTTATTATGCTTGAGGGCTACAATTTTATTCAAACTAGAAAGCAGAAGCTATGTAATTAACAACAATTTAGTTACTATATAACGTTGCATCTAATAAACAGATATCACATGTACGTATAGCATATGAATATTCATCCTGACGCGAGAAGGTGCAATCACATGCCTTGTTGTAGATGTACATCAGTAGTCACAGCTAGAAGAAAGACACACTTATTTATTTCCATGATTAGCAAAGATGGTTGGTTGCAATGTCGCTATTTTTTTAAAAATTGTTTTCAAAAATTTGTAAACGTGTTTTCTTTATAAAATTAAATACATTATCCGCAGGTTTGACTCACTGTATTTCAATGTTTAAGAAAAAAACTGGCATTACTTTTGAAGAAGAAGAAGTTCATTTTGAAAACTTTAAGCAACGATATTACACTTTCCAGACTACTATCCCCCAACAGGGGGCAATGTTAGGAATATTCCCTCCTCGCAAATTGTAATCGTAATCTACACTTTGCTTCCGCAACAGTATAGACTACATGATATCTTCCTTCTTCTCACTGTGTACACATGTATTTGTTCCTTTCATAGTTCATGCACTGGTATTAAGTTCATCTTAAATTAACACTTAAACATAAGCTAGTAATTATTATAATTGAACATCAATATACAAGTAATACCCACCTTCCAGGTACCATCCAACTTTCACCCAATTCATAAATATCGTGTCTGGACAGTATTTCACCATTAGGTTTCATAAAATCATCTTCAGGGTCACCATTATAATTTCCCAGTAGTCCACACACATTGCCACGCATTGAAGGTTCTTTTAAATCAACATTCACACCACGTATGTCTTTATTCCAAATCAAAGAAATGCGAGGTGACCAGATGTCAACGTACATATGCTCATCTACAATGTTTACTGTACCTTCTTCATTTCCTATTACAGCTGAGTTGTTGGTGAACAACTCGCCTTTAATCTGTGAAACAATTCACATGAAGTACTAATATTTATAACTGTTTAACAGTTTTTACCTAAGTCATTATCTCCTGAGTTTATGTATTTTGAAAATCATGGACAAATTTATAAAAGAAATGAGTGTCGTATGTGCATTAGAAACCAAAACATGAATTTGGCTTGGGATTGCATCACCAAGATAAGAAGAAAGCCAAGATACACATCAGCAGGAAAGAGAACCTTATCATGGGTTGTATTGCTAGTAATTTAGCACGTGTACTCATTGTGTTGTAGAATACGCTAACACTTGATGTCGGGACACAGTCTGAATATCGTACGATTGCAATTGTTGATTCACTGACACAAAATAGATCATTAAATAGTGAATACTAATTAGAAGTTATTGTAAAATAATGTGTACATTTGAATACGTGTGTTGAATTTTTCAAAACAAAATGTTGAATGAAGCCATTGTTGTAATATCAACATTACGAATATAATTGCCCGAGACTGTAGTAATAGTTTCTGAAGTTAAGACCTCGGCGTTCCACAGCGATTGCTCGGCAAAAAAAAAGAGAATTTGTTTGTTCTCAATAATGATCACGTCTCCAACCCTATACAGAAAAGAATGTAGGGTATGTGTGATATTTTTGTGTTTGAAGTTGCAATCTGTGTGTCTGAGATATATTTTACCACAGGTTATCGAAACATAAGAGGTAACTATTTCCGCTTTAAAACAGCAGGTAACAGTCGATAAAGTTTGTTATATGATAATTTATAGTTCCAAACCATTCTGAACGTGTTTTTATTACGCCATCAGCCCGTATAGCAGCCGTATCTTTACGAGCAGTAGGCTAACACCGTCACGACTAAATGATCTACCTAGAAAATTTTAATAAAATAAAATGGTTGTATTTTATTATATAACACATCACCATGTCATCTTATTCGAGCGCGATTTAAGGTTGAGCATATTCATCGAAAACATATTGCGCTCTAGGAGCAGAGAGATTGCACATATCTGCATGTTCAGTATTTATATCCACAAACCGCGACGAATGCCAATGATTTGTTGTTTCAAAACTGTAATACTTGTCAATTTATTTAATTTTCGATTTTGTACCAATTTAACAGTAAAGTAAAATGTTATATTACCAAAAATGCATTGTTTCGTATAATCCGCAGCAACTGCTTTCCTTCAACATCAATGTTAACCGCGTCGACTCGTGTTAACGGCTTGCCTCGTGATTCAGAATATTTGCCTCGCAAGTCAATCGTGATTAGAAATGACGGTTGTGTCATACTCTTACAGTCTTGAGTAAGTACGTACGCACATACACCTTGGAAGTTATACTTCACTCCATCAAATGTCGTAAAGTGGGGGTCTTTTTCTACACCTGGACCTAATAATAAGATAATATTTATTAGTATTAGCACTATAGTGTCACTAGCTTCCAAAATGTGAACTGTACTCAATAATTCAGTATCCCCTTTCCTATGCATCAGAGAACCGTTAAATATACCCAGAGTATATGCAATGCTGATTTCCTCCCAGCCATGATTCGCATTACACTAAGTGAAGCTTAAGTTGTTATTCATCTCGTTAGTTATGTCCAATAGTGACATTTCCACGGTTGCGTGTATCATGTGATTAATTGTAATATCAATTGCATCTATCGCCACGATATTTATTCAGAAAATCAGGTCAATTGTCCGTTCAATATAAATTCATCTGGATGTCATTTATTACCTCAGGGAGATATACACTTTGCCGTTCCTTGTCAATGTGTTCAATTATTTTATGATTTACGATATTGCACATTTTCCGGCTTATTATTTAATTCAGTTTAACTGTTATAATAGAAACCTTATGATGTTAAAGGGTTATTTGGTTTTTGATTTATTATTTATTATTCCTTTTATAAGTTTTGTAATGTTTTCAATCTAATGCTTGTCGGATTTAGGTATGGTTCTGAAAAATGCGCATAAAGGATTGCATTTTGTCATTGATGTTAATTCTCATTTACTTTGTTTGTACTAACATGACAGATAGAGGATAAATTAATTCATTCCCAGTTTTTCTTCGATTAAGGCAGGTCATATCCATTTAGAATGTCCACACATCTCCTCATGCATATAATAATTTGCCGACAGAAACATACACCCATTCATCCTGTGTATACATGTTACTTACTTGTTGGCTCTTCGGTTGTGGTTGTGGTACCTGTTCGTATAAATGAAACAACATATGAAACCTTGGTAAATGGATCAAAGGTCCAAATGGTTGGCAGATAGCATAACAATATAATCGATAATAATAATTGTTTGCCGTGATAGAAAACTTAGTGTGTGGGTATCAATAACATTAGTAAAACGTTTTATTGAAAGTAAATATGCAGAAATCTGAGTCTATTGATGTTAATGTTGGTTTATGAAAAGATATGCTTGCTGGCATAACACTACAGTAGGACTTAATGCGGGACCTTAATTGAAAACAAAATTTCATGACGTGACGCAGCCGTGCATTTCATTGTAAAATTATACTATACATATATGTATTACACGTAATGAATGTCGCCAAGGACAGTAGCAGATATGGCTCTTGTAAATTTTGTGTATCGATCAATGCATATACGAGACATAGTTTGATTACTGTATGTTTTTTAAAACTATACAAATGTGTGTATTTACTGTGATGTATTTTTTAATATTACAATTATTTCATTGTTAATACTATTGAGTTGCATTCTAAATCGTCATAATCGCATTCTAAGCCGTACTTACAAATGTCAATTGTTGTTACTGGTATCGAGTTTCCGCCATTGATATTGATAATGATTACATCTGCCGTAACTCCTGACAAATTTATTTGTTGATTGTTGTTGCCGACAATAGGCTGTGATATAATTGTATTCCCGTTTCCGTCTTGTATATTTATATTGCCTACAGAAGTACTTGTGCCAGGGTTACCAAACAATAGCTCTAATTTATCTTTACACTTGTTCCAAATGGCCACGACTCCATCCCATACACCTTTAAATACGAAATAAATTTGTTTTCAAACTATTATGTAATAAACAGCCATGCATATATTACAGTATTCGTTCGTTCGAAACACGCAAGGAGTACCAATAAAATATAATATATTTGTCTTGAGTTGATTTATTTGAAGTTCAAGTAATTTCATAGTGCTTCCATTTATGTTTCGTTTTGTACACATATTTGCACTATATTTGTAATGTCATACCTCTTTCGTCAATTTCATGTTCATCCATAAGTATTAACTTAGTCTCATCATCAGCCGTGTTTTCCTAACAAATGGGTAATTAAAGAATAAATAACAAACGAGCAAACAAATACATATAGACTGATTAATAGCGTTTTTATCGCCATTTAGGAACTGCAACTGCTAAGATTAAGTTGATTGCTCAAATATGCAATTCTATGTCACTTACTTTTGCAAAAACAACACAAGCAAAACAGATTACTGAATAAACAGTCATACAGCGTCTTAATGCCATATTATACAGATTTGATACTGAAAGGAAAAAACAACATATACTTTATTCTTGAGTAAAATAAATGTTGCCTGTCACAAACAAATTGTTCGTTGTATTATTATGGTGCGTTAGAGGAGCAACGCATGTAAAAGTGATACGTACGTGATGAAATAAACTATGATGGTAAATAAGAAGGAACTTATTGATGAAATAAACAAAAACGATTTAATATAATATTCGTAGTGTTTAAGGAAAAGTCAAGAGTAACAACATAATGCTCCAGGTGAAAGAGCTAGACAAGAAAATGCAATTTACAGGTTTTATATAAATTTGTATTCTCTATATATTCAACTTTTCAACAATTTATGTAGTCTTCAATCTTGATTCGAAAAGTATGACATCATATTTACTGTTGTGAGAAATTGCGAAAATGATTTCACATAATGAAAATGAATTCCATTTCCTTCTTGTGTGTTCTGCCTATCAATTGCCGAGGGCACAATTCATACCACATCAATACAGAGTGAATCCAAATTACTTTTTTTTAAGAAACTGCATAATTACATTATTATTGTTTCTGTAATTTCACAGGATTTTAATGTAATAAAGAAATGCGAGCTATGATATATATAATGCGATATGGTCTACATATTATGAGCATCATGCAATAACTCAAACTTTATTTGAGATAGCTACAATTATACATTTAACGGCAAATCTATGGAAATAGCGCTTTCCAACAGTTGTTTAGAAATATATGATTAGTTGTCTAATTGAATCTAGCATAAGAAAATTGACCTGTTAATTTCACATTTAAATAAAGATTAACTAGTAATTAGACATGTTTTTTATTCTCATAATGAGACGTGCTTTTACATTCCTGATAGAATATGATATAATTATGAATTACTCTTGTGTAAATTATTCTTGTGTCTACAGATGGTGGATTGCAGCGTTAATTAATGTAGTTCACATTTGCGATTATTTAAAATAAATTAAAAGTATCTTATGACGTTGACGACTATTCGTCTGGTCAATAAAAATTCGGGAATTTGGTATGATTTAGCAATACCTTTCTCTAACCCAGGCCCTCAGGCAAAATAAAATAAGTGTTTTATTACGAATAAAAAACACAAGAGTTAACTATAAATAATTGCGAAAAATATGTGCAGTTCCTATCAGAAATACAAAACAGATCACCCAGTGCTGCCATTTTCAATATTCTTGTTGTTCTGCGTGGCACGACGATGTCATCGTAAAATATAATGCAATTTATACATATGTAATTTCACTTCACTTCACTTTCAATAAATTTACATTTGCAAACTTATTTTATTTTGGAAAATAAATTTACAATAGAAAATGTACTTTTTAAAAATAGATTTACATATGAAATTTCACTTTACAATTGAAAATGAATTTATAGTTTTTCAATTCAATTTAATCTGACACTACATGACGAGGACAGAACATGGGGAAAATTCAAGCCTAATATTTAGGCGAACAAGCAACATGTGGAAAGGACAGCATAGAGTCAAGAAAGCCCATGTAATATATTCAATATAATATAATGTACTTCTAGCCTGTATACCAGGTAAGAGTATCGGCGGCTATCTAATGTAGGCCCAGCCTGTATTCGCGGGGAGGGAGGGGTGTGCTAGCTGTCGGCAGTTATCTAATGTTAAATTGTTAAGGGGTCCGACCGACCAGAGGAGGCATATGTTTTCATATTTTATATAAACTGATCAACGATATTCAGAATTAGGATTAATGATCTATAAAATATTTATCAGCAGACGTGGGAAGCATGTCCAACATATTTAGCTTTTCATGGCAAATTAATTCAACAATTTAATAGGTTGATACGTTGCTAACCGATTGGAGATGCATTCAATTATTTTCATTTAAAGGCATTAAAACTGATTTTTAAATAGAAAAAATAGATTACATAAAATAATATACAGATACTTTCATCATGCACAAATAAAAGAATGTAAGTCATAATTACCTGAATGTACTACTAATTCAAAGTCGAGGATAATTTTTAGAACTGGATAGTTGCTATATATATCGTCAATGAAAGATTTTGTGGAATAACGCAAAGCAATATATAGATCTTTTTTGATCTTGTTATTCATGCTTTTTATGTGACCAATAAGGTAATACACATATGCGTTTTTTATTCCCATATTAGGGAGAATACTGAATAAACTAAGTATGATAGACATAAATGAAATGTGACATGATGCCAATTTACCATCTTATAAAATCAATGCATCAATTTTGCGGAAACATCAATGATGCACATGGACAACAGCGGTGGTGACAATTAAGAGAAGTATTTACCCTATTATGAATTTTGACAGTATTTTAAAATATCATGCTTGAATCCATTGCCCGCAAACTAGACTACACAGATACTGTAAAGCAAGAATATACCAGGCAGATTGAAAACCACAAACAATATTAATGCCACGAAAGTAAGGTTGATTTGGTCGCCATATTCAAAGCCACGTTGGCGGAACTCACCTTAATACAAAAACAATATTAAGATAATGGAACTTAACGATTAGATGTGTTCACAGCTTCAATTAAGTTTAATCTGGCATCTCCAGTGTATGTATTAGCAATGATAGTACTTGTATTCGTGTTCGTCAATTTAATGTTTGCAACATAGTTGTACTGATCGATTTTATTATAAAGGATAATATACGGCAAATATAACATGTTATACATCAATATTTTTTCTGTTTTTGTCGGAAACTGACACCCCCGCTTACATATCCACGCCTCTAAGATAATGTGTAATAAAAGTGTTGACAACTAATAAAATAAAACCGATTGCCATGTAAAACAAACTTTTAAATGATTCTTTATTGTTAAACTAAACAATTGTGAATGAATTTCCGTGATTTTTTAAAAGGGATTCTCCTTTGATTAGATTTTAAGATACATCTAGATCCGGCTTTGATTACAGCAGCAATTAACGGATTTTTCATCATTGCCAAATATGGTAATTTTCAGATTCGTTGAGTGAATAAGACCCAAATGGTAATTGTTGCCTGACATTTGTTTGTGCTCTTAGACTTATATAGTACATTATATTTACAGTTGGTTATGCTATTTCGACTTTATTCTATATTAGACAAAATTGGAAGCTTGATGATTGTGACGATGAATATCATTTTACGTATACGTGTAAAAACGGAAAGAAAAAACTATTGCTTTGAGTGTGTGCTGATATATGATATCGTCGGTTTTACTTTCCTGCACGTTAGTTGAAAGATTGCCTTGATGTGTAAATTTCTTGGTCTTGTGTTTAAAATATTATTTATACGGTGCAACATTTACAGTGAAATAAAGCAGATGATGATTTATTTAGTTGACGCAAAAGGTGCGTGTATCCCGTATTTTAACACATATGTGCGTGGTTTTCTTATATTTGTGGAAAATTGTGTGGGACTAGTAGATTGTTTTCAATAGTATACACTATGCAACAGCCATGTACTATTTTAGCAAAAGTCACCATCATCTGTTTTACTTAAGCCTTCTGCACGAACCATCGTGACAACTGTTTCAACTGATTTCGTTGTGATTACTTCTACCTTCAAGCTATATGCATGCATATATTTCCAGTATAAATTGGCATAATCGCGAAAAAACATGCAGATTTGTAATAGCGGATTGATACATTTTAAATGAGTCTTTGACCTGGTCCACTATTTCAATGTATTAAGGACAGTGTGGTTGAATTTAATTCAGTTGTGAGACCTCAAACATCAATACCAATATCGTTTTAATTTTTTTAATGTTTGTGTATTTATTGGCTCTATTGTTTAGTTTAATTTTCGTCCATCAAGTTATTAGGTGCAGTGTGAACAGCAAAAAGAGATTTTTTATAAGGCTGAATGACAAAAACGTAGAATCACCTGTATCCAGTGTTTAACCCTCTACATGTAACTTAGTAACACACGTTTCAGTTTTATTTTTAATATGTCGACATTTGTGTGGGATTAAAGATTTAACTGTGTACAGTATACGAAATACATGATCTTTATTAGTAAGTATATACGTCATATGTTTTATTTTAGCGCTGTTGTATCGGGACACCTAACCCCACTCGTTTATCCACCACTGTCGTATATGTACTAATCAAATAATCATGTGATTCATTGGTGCGTTTAGTGATTATTGTTGCAATCAGCAGTATGAGTTAACATCTAAAACAAATCTAATAAAAGATTTAAAAACATCAAGAAATTGCTACTGTATTGAGGGCGAAACAAGATTATGTCAGCTCATTTAGACCCTGCCTTCGCCTACAACCTTAAAGGGAAGCAGAGCTCTGACTTTTCTCACTCTGTACATGTAATATATGATTTTGTTTGCCAAGTTGTTTATTTATTATTTTTTTTAACCTGATTTATTTTTCCAAAACTTATTTTCTTCTGTATGGCCTCAGGTTGGTTTTGGCCGTACCATTTCCCCGGATGTCCTGCGGTGTTTGTTGGTGGTGGTGGTGTCGGCAAAGCGTGATGCCATACAGACATATTTGTTCATTTATTGATTAGTAAGGTATATGTTTATTCATCACCGATTTGTATAAACTTTCATATTTATTTGTTTAGTTATTTATTAATTTGGTTAGTTAATCTTCATATTAATATACTTATTTTTGGTCCTCTACTATATACATTATAATTTACTTTCAATGTATATAGAAAATCAGACTAGACTAGCAGTAAGCTATTTTCTGATTTCCTTTTTACCCAATATATATATATGTATTTTTATCACCATTTGTTTTTCTTCGTATTTGTTTTTTCTGTATGGCTTACTTTTGTTATTTTTTTTTCAGTGTTTCTTCTTCTTCTTATTATTATTAGGTAAATAAATAATTATTATTATTATTATTATAATGTGAGATCTATGAATGAATTCTCTCAATAAAAACAACTTGTATGTGCTGCGAAATGCCCTAAATATGGGTGTAAAACAGGCTGTGAAGTCGACGACAAACAACCGCTTTGCCTGACGTCATTTCGCCTCACCATGTTTCAAATTATAAATTGTCAGTTAACAAGGTCTTTCATAGTAGCATTTCTATGGGATTGACGTACTAGAATGAATGGGTTCATTTATCAGTGTTCACTGATGACATTATTGACTGTCCCTCTAGAGGCGAAATGACGCCACCCAAAGTGGACGTTTGTCGTCTACTTCACAACCCGTTTTAATTGTCAAATTTCATTACAAAGAGACTTTTGAAAAACCAAGTATAATTTTGCCTAGAAATACAAATGTAGTTGCATAACATGCTATCCTCCATTCATCGACGTACGACTATCAATTATCGACATATCGGAGCAGTGTTGGCAGAATTTCCAAGTGCATTTATTATTTGACTATCAGCAACAGCTCTAATTGGTCTAAGGATCTTCCAGACAGAACATGATACCCATATGTAAAAGAAGAAGAACTCAAACTTATAATGCACTCACTTGAATTTAACGCATTATTATTACCGGATTTCAAAAACATTGTTCACACGTGTTGTATATATTTCTGCATTTGTTGATTCACATCTCCAAAGACATGTCCCCAGTCTTCCCTCCTATATCAGAGATTATACTGACCTACTCATTCTGATTGCAGATATCCAATAACACAATAACGATTTTCGTTTCACCTGATGTAGTTTCACTCTATACATCCATCCATCATGAAGATAACATTGAAGATATTGAATACTACCTCAACAAACGTCCTCCTGATGTTAAGCCTACTACCGCCACCCTCCTATGTCTCGTTAACCTAGTTTTATCCATTAATGCTTTTGAATTCAATAACAACTATTTCCCTCGGACTCGCGGCGTAGCCATGGGCACAGTCGCTAACTTATTTGTGGGTCTTTTAGAAAACAAACTATTCAACGACCAGATCACTGACCATCCCACCTGGTGGCGACGTTATATTGATGATATTATTGCACTTTGGGACTCATCTCTCGATAAACTCCAAATTGTCATCACATACTATCCATCCAGCTATTAAGTTCACTGCCACCTGGGGAAACAAACTATTACTTTTTTGATCTCACATTCACTATTGGCGACGATGGTCTTATATTATCTGATGTGTATAGCAAACCCACTGACACTCATCAATAATTATTCCACTCGTCGTGCCACCCCCTCATTATAAATCAGCCATGTCATATAGTCAAGCACTACGTCTGTGGCGCCTATGTTGTAACGACGATCGTTTCGAAACACGTTGTCATCACTATATTTCTTATTTTACTGAACGAGGCTACAGACATCGATTTGTGAAAAAAAAATCAAAAAGCAGCATTACTTAGTCGATCTACATCCCAGATATCCCTCTCCAAACACTTTAAAATTAACCGTGCCCCCCTTGTGACCACATATCACCCCTCTCCCTCTAACCTCCAGTCTATTACTAAGTCACTACTTCTAATTCTTCACTTTTCTGACAGCAAGAAAGCTGCCATTTCTGATCCTCCCATCATATCATATAAACGCCCTAAGACCTTAGGTAATTTTCTTGTCCGTGCCCGAATTAATAAGCCTGCTACTCTCCCCAAAGGTTGTTATAAATGCAATAAACTTAATTGTATTACATGTAAGCACCTGATATCACCTGTATGCAAAATGTTCGTGATTCATCAATTGCTTTTGATTGTTTGGGTAATGATCGGAGTGTCGTGAGGGGAGCAATTATAAATGATGAAAATGACACACACCACAAGGATATCATATATACAATTCCCAAAAGATAATCTAAAAGTCAAATAACATACCCAATTTAACCAAGACAGTATTACCCACTTTCCTGATGACGCACATATCCTCGTCGACCTGCCAGTAAGCGTGGGTAGTTGTCATCAACAAAAACAAACGTCTCTGATTTTAATTATTTCAATGTTCTTAGTCGTCAAAAATGTTCCCTCCTCCCACTCCCGAATCTCATCACCACAACACACACAAATACCCCCAAACACACAAAACTACACCCTACCCCCACTCCCCCATCCATATC